AGACGCCAGGTGTGGACAGTTACTGTACCTGATATATTTTTTCTCCACCTGCTATATTCAACCAGCGGAATTACACAATAGGCAGTCGGGAAACAGAGCGGAGTATGCCTGTTCCAGTGCTGATCGAACGGACGAGCAGACCAGACAAACACATCAGGAATCACCTCTCAGTGGTTTACTATGCCGCCAACCGTCGCCCTACCTGTCGATGGATAAGAGACCGCACGGAAAGCTCTTTAAAACTGCTGATGTCCTCTGTAACATGTCCAAAAAGTCGTTTATTAGTGAATGAGGCCCTCAGCCACACAGGAAGCAAATTCACTCCGGTGGAGTTAATGTGCTTCTCAGAACATCAAGACATCCAGGGCATGAATTCGAGGCAAGAGTACATCCATATCCGGAATGTGGAAAGTACTTATCAAATCGGAAGAATCTCTCTCGGCACCGACAATCTGTTCACAGTGAGGGAAGACGTCATCAATGTGAAATGTATGGGGCGTCGTTATGCCAGAAATGGAATCTTGATCGACATCTGAGGAAAAAACACGGCCACCATGTTTATGAGCAATACGGGACACCGAGCGTCCAGTTAGTTGTTCTCAGGAAAATGGGCATGTTAAGGACTCAATCGTCGCTACCAAATTCTAAGGAACAAACTGATGAAATGTGACCTAAAATGTGCCAAAATACACACTACGAAGAGCTGTATAACTTTAAGTTTACAGTTGATGGAATTTTCGGCACTGTGTCGGGACTGCCCCTTATGTTCTGAATGGTTGAGACCACCTTTTCCAGGTGGGAACATGCAACCAGTGTTTCTACCTTTAGTTGTAAGCCTCAAATGTAAGCTGATCCCAGTGCAAATGAGCTAAGCTAAAGCGACCGAGAGATTGACGGTGTATGAATTAGCAACGAAGCACGCAAACACGGAGCAGCTGGCAACTGCCGTCCTCTGGATGCGGCCTCCGAGACTCAAATCACCAGTGGTTAGTGACATTGGTGGAAATGACCAAATCGCGCAGTCGGTGGGAATCGTGCGTCAAGTCTATCGCCTTCAAGTGCGTAGCTGTCCAGTTTCTGAACAAACTGAACAGGCCTTCGCCTACAAGGCTTGGTTTTCTTTTCCGCTTTTCCGTTTTCCGTTGATCCAAACTGTAACAGTTAGAATCAACGAGCAAATGGCACACGATTTGCAGCTGATGAATGAGTGGATTGAACGTAAGAAACATCATAATATACATCATGTTATTGAGGGGAAGATTGCCAGATAACTGGCTGTGAATGTCCAACGTATATATTGACCACCGAGCTCATACATTTGATCACAGCTGTTTCGTCAGCAGTGGGTGACGACAAAGTCTTCTGATTGACGATATTCAGAAACAAGAAAGCACGTGATTGGACGTTACAACTCCGGCTGTGAATCGCAGTGAACAGCGGTTCGTCAAATCTCACATTTCAAGTGGCGTTCTTGGTATCTCAGTTATATTTCGGGCGTCTTCTTAAAGATACTGTAGCATGGGAGGATTTGTTATTCGTCCCTGATCTATCCATAGTTGCTAACTGGATCAGATGGACGGATAATTACCAGGTCACCTTCATTTTGCAGCCGGGGGTCTCGCAGGGGAGGCGTGGTCGCGTCATGTGAAATCCGTGAAAAACTCATGCGGTACGCTGTATCGGCTGTGTGAGAAAGCAGCCATCGGGGCTGATTAGCAGACTGCAGCGAACAGGTTGATTCTTCTGCTGCTAGCCTCAAGATGATGGCCGAAACCCATCCGAGATACCAATAAACCGTGAATCTGAATCGTTCCGTCTTTCTACGGTCTAGGAATCAGGGATAACTCTTACGTTATTTCCATTCTGGTCAGATTAATTGTTTAGATCAATTATTTGAGGGAACGTCGATACGCTACTTTTATATGAGAAGCTCTCCCAGCGCTCAGGGTTATGACGTGATAGGTCTTTCCATATGCGAAACGTAATGTCAACAAGAAAACAGAAATCACAAAGACAACATTGACAAACGAAAAATTCTTATTCACTGAGTGCTCTTTGATCACCAGAACATAAGAAATTTTCAGAATATTCATCAAGTTCAGGCAATTCAATGATAGGAGTATTTCTCATTATACAAAGTAGGAGGACCGCCTATACCAGGGCGATGTTTCTGGTCCGTATGCATCCAAATGTGCTGGCGCTCCAGCTCGGCTGGCTCAGCAGGGATGTTCATCATTATCGTCACAGAGATTTCATCACGCAGACTGACTTGTGGGATTTTCTTTGTCAAATCAAACGAAGAAGCGTACCTATTTCGTATATGTCAACAACGCAGTGGGGCAGTGGATTATTGATACAAATCCGGCATTGTTATCAAACGTAATCGATAACCTCAGAGTGTACAGCCACACAGTATGAGATAATTAGAATCAAACATATGCAACATGTAGCCAGGACTGGTCGAACTAGACGCAAAACGGATTTCTCTTCTGATGGGAATCATCAACCTACCTTTGACGATGATGTGATGGCTCATTTCGGACGGCCCAAAATCACCGTCAGTTTTACTGTTTCTATCACAAAATCATACAACGTCAGCAGTACTACTGGAATGTCTGTGGTTTCCTCGGCTTTCAACAAAGTGCACGGAATTTTGCAGCGAAAACAAGCGTACAAATTACATCAGTTCCCATCTTCAAGTTTACTTCCTCGTTTGTTTCTTCGATAGTTGAATTGTTGGCGGCAACATGGGGGCCATTCCTGGGTTACGATTTGCTACGATGATATTTGCTTTGGCACATTTGTTGCTTGCATTTAGAGATAGGTTATTAGAACACACACCATTTTTCGTCAAATCCGAAGGAACTTGCCTGAGTTTGATCATACTGACCGACAACAAACAGACTGTTCGTGCTACTCGTTTGACAAACAGAATGTTTATCTACAGTCAACTTTCTGTACAAACGTAACCACGAAAACACCACTAAAGTGATGATGAGGGACGGTATAGCGAACAGAATTGAAAATCTTATGTTGAGTGGAGCATAAAATGTCTATTCGAGACAACCGTTCTACTCGCCAAGGTCAAAGATTAGGCATATCAGTTGGCCTCCAAAAACTCGGAGGCCGCGCTGCATTTAAGTCGATAAGACAGATTGTCTGTGATATTGGAATAAGGTCGTTCATGCGACAAATATTTTGAATGAGAATGTGCCTCACTGAATGCTGAATCTTGCACTGCAATCTAACTTGTCTGTGTAGAGTTTTATGCTTGGTGAGCTGCAGCTGGTGGCGCTGTTTATTCTGTAGGCGTCACTTACCCGATTTCCGAAAGTATTCCATGTGAATGACGTGACACAACTTGGCTTGAAGTGCGCACTTATGTTTCTTTATTCTGACGATATAAAGACCAATACATGGGTCCGAGCCCCCATAACTAAGTTAACTCACCAAGGGAAAGTTAACTCCTAACTCCCAGAGACCGCGAAAAATCCAGGTGCCATGGTAATAAATCTGACGTTTCAAGAAGCGCAATGCGGAATTACGAGAAATGATACTACTCGCATGCCTCCCAGTCGGTAATATCAGGGTCGTACCTGTTCTGTTTGTTCCAGTTGCGGAGATGAACAGCCTGCTCTCGGAATATACCTCCTCATGTAAGTTACTATTTTCCTCTGAAAGACTATCAAACCGTATTTGACCTGCAATAAAACATAATTCCCGTTCACTGCCTAGCTACTCGATTTCCGAACAAACCGAATCGCAGTGAACAGCACTTCGTCAAATCTCACAATTCGAGTGGTATTCTTGGCAACTTGATGATCTTTCGGGCGTTCTTCTTGAAGCTACCGCAGCATGAGAGGATGTTTTCTTTGTTCTTGATCTGTCTAGTTTCTAACTAGACCAGATGGACGAAGATTTATTGAATCCCTCCGTGTTCCAGCTGGGACGTCTCACGAAAGTGACGTGGTCGCGTCATGTGAATTGCTTGGAAAATGCGTGCGCTATGCTGTATCTGTTCTGTGTGAGAGCAGCTCCTGCGGCTGATTAGCAGATTGCAGCGGACAGGTTGATTCTTCTGTTGCTTGCCTCAAGATGTTGGCTTCAAGATGTTGCACACTGCTGAACGCTTCCAACTAGAGCGCAGAGGCTTTACAGTGGTTCGATACAAACCGGCTTCTTTCGTATGTGGGAGTAATTTCTTCCAGAGAGCCAGTGGAAGTGACAAGTAAAAGGGTTGGATATGCCTTCTGAAATTCACGAGAGGAGTTGATAACATCGACGGTACACAAGGGACGTACGTCGAAGTACAATTCGTAGGTCGTTTGTGACATGAACAGCATCATTAGAGGAACTATAGCACACTGGATTATGACGTTTTGGTACCATTAAGAAATAAAAGGCCTTTGCTGCGGAGCTATTGATTAGAAACTGCCAACTCACCCTCCCCAGACTATTCGAGAGTGGAGCGAAACTCTCCTGTGCATCTTATTCACGAGTGAACATACTATTCGTATGCCGTCCTCATAAGTAGGATCACTGTTACACCAAAACATTAGTACACCAGTGTATAAGTCCATGTTGATTGTTCATGAATTTAAAGACTTTCGGCAAAAGGTCAAATCGATTCAACCAATTTTCACGCTATTCACATCTAGAAATTGCTTATGTTCCCTGTGTCACGAAACCTTTGCTTTCATTATGAACATCCGAACGCACCATTTGCACAAACATCGCTTTCACTCCTGGTCAACACACTTTGAATGCCATTGCAAAGACCTCCAGATTGCAAAACACTTGTCAGACCTCGGACAACGCCTACCGCGTTCTTGGATGTCGCGAACCATCTGACTAGATGTTTTGCGCGAAGAAGGAATTCAACGTACCGGACATTATCTGCACTGATGGCAACCAGGTCTGGTTACCTGGGTGAATCCTCTGACAGGAGAAGACTAACGACGGTAACGAAGGGTAAAGTTATACCACTTTCTGAACTTCAGAGGCACATTTCGGCCCGACCTTTCGTCGCCGAATTGCATGAAGTTGCAACCGGTGAGTGCGTTTTCATGCACGACTCCACTGAATCCCCTATATTTCCTTAATTTGACCTTTACTATCTGCGCGCATACGATTTATTCTACGTTTCTTCCATCCTTGTGTAATTGAGTGAGCTCCGTTTATTGTTTGGTTCTTTGCCTTGTCAAGATCAAACACAATTAAACCAAATTGAATCCTTATATCGTCACTAGTCAGAACCATCATGTACCCTGTGATTACGTTCAACGCACACCCGCCAAACAGTGCGTTTGAAGAGCTGTAATGAATGAAGTTCTTGTTTTCTTCCACAACCCACCCAATCGCACATGGTTACATGCGTGACATTGCGGATCGCAGCAACACTTCCTCGTCGATTGCCATATCATGTATTGTCCGCACGCCGTCACCATACTCCCACGGTCCAAATGGTTGCTGGCTTCCAGTTGCTTGGCAGTGGCTATTAGCTGTTTGCTGGTTCGAACTCACTGAGCTGTTTCACAGGATGAAAGATCCCTCCCGATTGGAAGGAAGATTTTGTGGCTGCCCTGGTCTGACTAAAATTTTGGGAATATTTCCACAGTTCCAAAGCATGAATGAAGTGTGGTTGCCAAGATAGGCGCTAAGAAATCATCTCGAGAAATGATGATCCATGGATACCAACACCTCTAGATCAGTCCGCTTGACACGCACTCACTACATACCAAAATAGCTTTCCTATACACTGAAGCCATTACTCATGGTGGCCTGGCGGATCTGCTCACTTTGTATGATTTGTGGTAGAATATTAATGCTCACAATGATTTCGAGCCATCAGAGATTTCATCGCACACATCAGCATCAAATGTAAATTGATAATGCCCTTCAAAAGAGAATTTCGCCCACCGTGTGCCTGGGTTGACCCGCCGTCATTGCCCATTTCATATATTCAATCCTGATGGCCCTGTGGTATGAAGGCAGGTCGCCTGAATTTATTGACCAATTTTGTAAAAATCAAATTGTGTGGTAGAACAAAATCGAAACCGCTAATTATTTCAGTGGTGTTGGGTGAGTACTACCTGTTTGTTTTTGTTTCGCTGGACAATTATTGAGGTCCCGGAATCCGAATACCTATGTGTCAGTTGATGCTCACTTTTTGAAAATCTAATTAACAGGAGCCTGCGGTGTCGGTAAGACTCTGGTAATGCTCCTCATAAAAACGTGGATACGGTAACAGCAACCGTAAATGCAAACCGCTGTTCTTGATTCGATATTTTAACCATACTGTTCGTTATACCTAGGATCAATAAGTACTAGTCTGGTGTAAGCAAGTAGATCCTCTCGTGAATAGAAAGTTGGCAGCCGAGTATCCATCAGTGCGTTACGTATGATATCTGATTCGAACAACGGAGTGCTCTTATGTGGCAAGCTATATGAGCTGCTGATAGCGGGCAAGACAGGGACCGAATACCAGGTCCGATGACATCCGCTGACAGCTAAAGACTGGATTTGACGAAAACTGTGATTGTGGACAATCGCTGAAGACTGCCAAATCTTGCATCGTTCGCCCAATCAGTTTTGTAAAAATTGCAAGGCATCGCATTTTGTTATGAACATAAACATACGGTCTTGTACAGTGTGTCTACTAACATAGTCATGAAAATTAAAAGCATAGGCTGAATATGGTGGAGTCTAATTCCGAAGAATAGCAATAGGATGAAGCAAAATTTTAAATCGATCAACGATTCTTCAGACTACTCTGTGGAAATACCGTTGCTTATGCTGCTTAGAATGCGGGCTCCATTGTGTGTCTCTCGCTGGCTGGTGCCTGATGATTGATTTCAATAATGGTCGAGATTCGTTCTTGTATACTCCTCGGCTTCTTGTCAGACAATGCTAATAGCTCACTCGATAATTAATTCAGGGCTGATTACGATCCAAAACGAGTCCTCCTAGCGTTGCATCTTAGATTCACGCACATACGGCTTATTACACCGGATGAAGAATTCTATCCTCGCCACCAGTTCGAATGTTCTTGCTGATCAGCCCCGTCCATGCAACGTAAAGGCAAACAAACAAAATGCTCGGGCAGATCAGCTCGAATCGATCGCGTTGTGGACCACATTTGCTCAGTGCCTCCTTAGAACCGTGCACCCCGGTCTGCAAAGCCGTTTTATCGCCTGCTGCGCTTGGACAAACGAGAAAAGGTCAAAGAAAGTGTTGCATTGATCACCGTTGTGTTCAAGCTGTCCAACTCATCTGCCAAATGTCAGTGGAATACAGCCAATACAGCCAATAAAAATCAGAGCTGGTTTTCCTAACAGATAGATTATTGTGAGCACGCGTCTGCGTTTCCAGCTCCTTCCGGGCGGTGATGACAAATTCTTTGCGGTGTTGAAAAAAGCGTTCAACCCTTCTTCAAAAAAAGAATTTTGGTTTGAAGGCAGAATGAAAGGCATCGTCCTGGTGCTCATAGAATTTACTACGATACAAAATTGTATGAAAAACCGGTCCAAAGAACAGGGCAACTAACACTTTCATCTATAAGACAGCATTCGTTAGGTCGATTGATTGATTGTAAAAGGGACGAAACAGGAAACACGTTTTTCTTAAAATTTGTGTCAAATTTGGGATTGAGATCTAAGTCGAGTACTTGTGCCAGTCCCCGCATGTATTAGATTCGTGCTTCACGCACTGTTCCTCACTCCAGGTAACTCAGTGTCACCCATCCATTGACGTCAGTAGACTATTTGGGATAAGTTGGTCAATTCTGGTTCTCCATTGTCCTCAGCGTACCCTTGGATGTCAGAGATTATCAGAAAGTGCATGATGATTTTGCCATTGTATTCGATGGCGCAAGCAGCAATAGGGTCCGCCTGTTGACTCGGTCCATAGCCGCAATGCAGCCGATACTCACTCCATTCCATCATCCTAATGAGGATCGATACGAGCAACAAGCATATACTATACAAAACATTACTAATTTGTCCAATGAGGACTGTGCCTTTTCTCAAAATCTGTGTTTGTTTTCATGGTTATAACGACATCTCCCCGGTTATTCCACCTACTAGATAATTGGGAGGGGACCTCATTAGACAAAAACAAACATACTGTGTACTTCATCCCCTTAGACCTACTGACATAAAAAACGGTGATCAATAAACTAGGAATACAGGCCGCAAACATTGTGCCAAGATCACAATGGACAAACGGGAAAAGGAGAACGGTTCGACTGCTTTTGACTTCGTTGTAAACAGTGAATAATGTGGTGGCCAAGAATGATTGTGAGTTTTGCCCATTTTTATTTGCTCGAGGGACTTTACATCATAACACGTAGTGTTAGTCTCACACTCGATAGGGTCACTGAATTTCTCCGTGAATTTTATGCAACTGGGGCATCAAGTTAGATAGACTATCTTACCTACACGCCTAAACCCCAAGAGATGGTTGTAGAAAAGCAAAGTTAACTGAACTGCAGTCGATTTAAAGTGCAGTCCGCAGTGAGCTGCAGTACCACACATGCGACCGCAGGTTTCAAAATAGTCCGTTCATTCGAAATGGTTATTTGTTTGTTCCAGTTTACGAGCTAAGCAGCCTGTTTTCAGAGTACGCCCCCTTATGTGAGTCATTGTTATTAAATTCGCTTTTCATTTGAAGTAAATATATATATATTTTATGTCAAATGATTGTGCCGAATACGCCCTCCTCGTTCTCAGAAACCAATAGGTTCAACAATTCAGCAATCTGCTCGAAAGTAGCTGGAAATAAAATCATATTTAATCTGATCCTTACATCAGTTTCTGGGTTTCGTTGAATGAGTTTTGAGCTTTTGCCAGGCCGTCTACATTCCCAACTATAGGGGTACTAGAGAAATCTGCCTACAGGAAGACATCATACTTGAGTGTGACTCAAACGCCGCCTTGCAGGACTCAGTTACAAACTGTTGATAATGGCTTAAGTATAAACCGTTCGCGATTAAACATCATTCGGCCACGAGCTGTTCACGAGCAGCGCGATCATTTCAACGTTGGGCGCAATAAAGCTCTATTCGAACTGCATTTTACAGTTGTCCTACGCGCCACTGGGAAGGTGGTGTAACGCGATTTATTTCTGCAGCTGTGTGAAGCGTGAACGCCAAGATGGCTTTATATGTGACACACTGAATAAAACGCTTGGTAAGAGCATCGGCCAAACACGTCTCACTCAATCATAAAGTCGGTGGCCAGCGAGATTAGAAACCACGTCTAAGGAACCTTGATGCATTTCATTGTTATCTGCGTATTCCTTATTCACCCGTTTGCACAAGTTCTTATCCAAACGTCTTCACGGTATTCGTTTAAACCTGGTGTGAATAAATCAGTATATATCTTGTCTGATATCAGGTTTTTATTGTCGGCTTATGATGACAAGTTGCCTGATAATTTCTCTCCTAGAAGGCAATTCAGAGTGGATTGTAAGCGAGAATTTTAGGCAAACATGTCCTGAGGAATTTTGAAAGGAATAATGTAAGCGAAATTAGCACTGTAATGTCGATTTGTTTTTCAGAATGCGGGAGGGGAAGTTCAATGCAGTTTTGTGGCCAAAATAGCATACTATTGAATTTAAATGATGTCACGCTTAGAAACCCACCTTTTCATGAAACAATTTTTCCAGTGAGGAATAGAGGTGCGCAACAGTGAAAAATGGCTCCCCTCTGGAAAAATTCCTCAGTTTGTTACAAAGATAACGTGGGACCGAAATTCACAATTAACCCAAGTGAACAGAGCAGCTATATCAAAGTTTTCCCGTCAAGAGGAAACTAGCTGCATTCCCCCAGAGTTCCTCATTTTACATACATAAAGACAGTCATGCTGTCAGACTCCAATTTGCAATGAACAGAGTGTAAATACCCCGGCAGTGGTGGGGATTGTTCTCGAATTACTTGTACGCTCCAGCTGAAAAGTGGCGAATCTAGTTGCCAATGGAAATGCGGGTGGCAATGCGTGCTGTCTCAATGTGTGTCGCATAAACCATGGAAGAGCTGATCGCCGTCGAACGGTCCCGTGGTAATCAGGTGGTTGCTAGAAGGCACCACTCCGCAAATTGTGATATTCGCTTCCCTCGTTGTTGCAAACAGGGTTGAAATAGGTGTGAAATGGTTGCCAAGTTTCCTCCATTGAGACCTACAACGTTGAGGCCGCAAATTAACATTCCTAGGATCCCATCCAAGGTTATTTTGACTGTTGTGTTTAAGGACAGTCTATTGAAACTGGTACCAATTTCTTCTCTCTCAATTTTTAGCAGCAAGTGTGAACGAAGTGCCGTCAAAAAACAAGAACGGAAGATCCAAACAAACGAGCAAACACGGATGAAACCTGCAAGCGTTTAATGTGCAGCAAATCGTTCCCCTTTCTATCCGAGGCTACCAGGCACCAGGCAGTAGTGCACGCGGAAAATTCCAAATTTATTGCGGTGTGTACGAAATATCGTTCAAGAGTAAGCGATATCTTAGGCGACGTATGAAGAGGTTTGATATTTCAGCATTGCACAGGCAAGTCGGAACATCCAGCAAACGGGTGCAAGAATCACATGGAAGAGGAAAATTACGTTCCGTATGCGGAAAGTGCTTTGCCAATTGGAGCTGTCTGCGTCGGCACCAGCGATACGTTCGTCGGAATCACAAACAACGATAGTGAAAGGAATATGTGATGGCATTCCGCCGAAAATGGAACTTGGATCGCCATATGGGAACCAAGCACGAAACGCAAGTTGCACACATTTCCGAGCAATCTGGGAAAACTTACTCTAGATAGGATGCGCTTAATGAACATGTAAAATCTATCCACAACGAAAATGCAATGCCACGTCCGACTAACCAATAGCGAATTGATAGAATGTGACCTATGGAAGAATATATGCACACTGAATATGACAATCGCCGGAATGGTTTCTTGTTTCTTTTTGTTGTAAAGGAAAGCGTAAACCTAATCGTGTTTCTGTTCTTGCTTGAGATTTCCGGGCAAGTATCTGAGATCATGGAATATGTTCACCCACCAACAATCCGTACTCGCGTCCACATCCTCGGCAACCTACAACCCGAACTTAATAATCGGTGGATGACCGCGTTCACATAGCTAATACGTGTTCTCTATCCCAACTTTCGGAACAACTTTTAAGACAAACGTCTCTCCGATCAAACACTCGACCTAACGAACACCATAAAAATGACGAAATATTAGTTGTTCTGTTATTGAGATACCGGAGTTTCCATCACCTTATCGTTCCGATAAGGTCGCGCACCAATAAAAAACTCCGTCTGTCGTTGAAACGGATTTCATTGGTTTATATTCACTCGCCCTTGGCAGATGGGTTGTAATCTTGTACGCGACAGTGATCAGTACCGCACTCTTGTTGACTTTTTCTGGTTTGGCCAAGAGCGACATGCGATCAAGCGGTTATCCTGACCGGGTTTCAAGGTAATAAGAAGGCATTAAGTGACTTTGTTCCACAACGCTATCAGTTTGAGCTCATCTGTCCAAGCACTTTGTTTCAAAAGAACAACCGAACTACCCGCTCATAGTCACATGTGCGCACTAACTAAACCATGCATAAGATCCCCAACTCGGTAGTCCGATTTTGTAATGAATACGCACGAGTTGAACACGAACTCAGCCTAACTCTTATTTCTCTCTGCTGTAAATTTCAGGTGCATTGCTGCACGTTTATTTCGCTTGTGCTCTTACGATGAATGGACGAGACTGATCAGCAAAAACACTGAAGCGGGCGGCGTGGGCAGAATCCTTCATCCTGTTTAACAATCCGAGTGCGCGTGAATCCAACATGCAACGTAATGAGTATTAGTTTCAGATCGCTCTAAGCCCCGTATTCATTATCGAGTGAGATATTGCTCTTGTCCGATGACCATTATCGAAACCAATCATCAACCATTAGCCAACGAGAGCCACAAAATGGAACAGTAGAACAACTATGCGTGTTTGAATGCAAGAGGCCTGCATTTCGAACAACAAAATCAATGGTTTCCGAGATTAATTAGAAGAATCATTTACCTAAATGGAAGTGTGCTATTTGGTATTGCTCGTATTGTTCTTCGTTTATGAATTGAACTAAATAAATAAATACCTTATGCTATTGAATTCGCATGGGTTTGTCAGTAGAGAAACAATCCCAGACGGTATGCATATGTTCATCTTGCAGATATATGCAAACTTGCGGTAACTTTGAATTTTATAAACTGACCGGGCGAATGATGAAAGATGTTGCAGACCTCAGCGAGTGCCTACAAACACATTTTTCGTCATATCTAGTCACTGACCTTCAACTCCGAGCTATCAGCATCTGAAATGGGTTGAAAGCACTGCCTACTTCAAATCAGATATCAAACACAATGCACTGATGGATTCTCGGTTTTTGGCTGTCAACATTCCATTCGCGGGAGAAATACATTGGTTGAATCAGACACATGATTATTGACACAGCATATAAAAAACCGTGTGGTTAGAATATGGAATCAAGAATAACGGGTTACTGGTACTTTCACTGTTGCCTTACCGTATCCAGCTGCTTGTCAGTATTCTCACGGGGGTCATAGGGATGCTACAGACGCCCTTGTTAATTAGGTTTCTAAAAGTTGCTCATCACCTGACGCAGAAGTTATCGAATTTCAGAACTTGTTTGGTAGTCTAGCGAAACAAAACCAAACAGGCTGTACACTCCTAACACCATTGTGATGTTCTACCAAACAATTCGATCGATCAATTCAGACGACTTGTCTTCATACCACAAAACTATCAGGACCAAATGTATGAAACTGGTCACAAAGTGAGCAGATCCACGAGGCCATGAGTAACGGCTTCAGTGTATGAAAAGCCAGTTAATCTATGTGTACTGAGTGCGTATCCAGTGGATTGTTATCCACGGATAATTATATCTTAAGATGTTTTGTTATCGCCAGTCTTGGCAACTCCACAAGGTGAATTTTTCAACTGATTCAACTTCAATTAACTGCAACTAACTGTGGATAAGCTAGCCTTCTCATGTTCGCGAACGCTGTGTAGCTTGCTGTTAGCGAACCTCTTCTCAGGAGATATTAACGTGCACATGTTGTCAATGAATGATTATAACGCTAGGTTTAGTATACAATAATAAAGTGGCCAGATGGAACAGCCTCACAAACAATTTTTCGCTTTAAATTAGTCCGTCGCTAGCCTGGGTGAGCGAGTAAACAATAATCCAATCCCAGTTTTCCAAGGGACTTCTTCTGAACATTCCCCATATATGAGAGATTCCTTAGATGGTCTGAAATATTTTGGTACCAGAGTTAGCGCATGATACTCGTGAATGACCGCTGTAAGCACGAGCGAAATCAATCAAGAGAGAGTCGAAGCACATAACGTAACACAGGGCATCATAGGTACGATACAATTCGTGGGTGTGTAATACTGGATCCGGCTGTTTCTCAAATAGGTGCTGAAAAGGATGTCGTTACCTCCGAAGAGTTTTGAGTCTCAAAACGATGAATTTCAACCTCAAAAACTCGAGATTCGCAAAGACGCGAAAAGAATCGCAATCAAGAATGCACATGTGCGTTGAAAATGCATAGCATCAAACAAGACCTGGCCAGTGGAACACACTCAGTTTGTGTAAACTGAAGTCAAGGACGGAGGGCTTGACGCTCCCACGCAGAATTCTCACGACACAGACGGGAGAAGTGAATACGCTAGAACAGACATTTGTGTTGGAAACAGTCAAGTGGTCAGTCGGAGCTGACGGCTGGATAGATAACCGCCAGTCGTGCAGGAACGGTAAGTCCAATTGTTCGCCTTCTGAAGAAAACGAACTCGGCATAAATGTAGCAACTTGGGAATGGGGTTGCTTTCCGTGAACGGTTCTCATGTGCCGATCAAGATTCCAGTGCCCTACACTCCTTGCACTCTTGACGGGTCTCCTTTCGGTAAAACTATCTTCGATGCTGGAACTCATTCCTCCAACATGAAAAGCACTTCCCGCATTCAGGACATGGAATTCCGCTTTCCTCGGGTTGCCGCACTCGTTAACTGGATATTCTGACAGAAATGTGGTGTCCACTGGCGTTTTATCTCTTCATGTATTGCTCAAGCCTGCGCTCACTTGTGAATGATTTTTCGCGCACACTACAATAAATATCGGCACTTTCAGCGTGCACTGATGTTTCGTGCTTCGTAACCTCCGACAAGATGGGGAATGCTTTGCCGCATACGAAACACTTGTGAGGTCCTTGCTGGTCTACTTGTTTATTCGAATCTTCGGGTGGGACAAGAGTGGAACATTTGTCCTCCGTTGCCTATGTTTACCGCACTTCGTTAACGTTTGCTGGTTAAAATCAAAAGACGTAAAGAAATCAGTGTCAGTTTCAATAAATAGGTTCAGCTGGCGTGTACTGTCCCTAAATGCAACAGTGCAAATACAATGTCACTACTGAACTATTGGAAAGAGACCTGAAATTTTGAGTTTAGTGCTTTTGTTGTTAGTGGACAATTTGTCTGCTGAAAACTCATGAAGCACCTGACAACTAATTCACCCCTATTAGGAATTATGAGAAGTCCGATTCTCACGGTTTGACTAATGGTTCATGCTTTCAACCACGTGGTTATTATTGAACGCCAAACCGTTCGATGGCGATCAGCTGATCCGTCGTTAATATACCTCACAATTATACAGCACGGAGCTCCATTCGTTCATTCGCTCCGAAATGAGTTCGGCGTGGCTACAAAAACACTGGCTATTTGATTCACGACTTGCCAGCTTGAATAATTATCCCTTCAGGAGTATTTGCAATTCGTGAATACCAAGTTAAACCAGCTAGTTGACTTTACGACCAAGTTCGACATAATTTTTCCGAGCTCCGTTTAGACGATTGCTGTCGTACTGGCTGTGGTGATTTCCAGATACAAACATACATTTGGGACGATAATTCGTGAATGAACAATACATAAACTTCAAAGCCGTAAAGAGGAATTATGTTTTACTGGCATTCAAATATAATTTAGTAGTCTTTCGTAAGAAAATAATGATCTACACAAGATGGCATATTCCGAAAACGCGCTGCCCAACGCCTCAAATGGAACAAACAGAATAGGGTGCGTGGATTTCGGCAGAAGCGGTGAATCACGAATTTGGATGTATTTGGTCCGGCAACATAACACACTAGTGAAAATGATGATCAAGCTAACGTGTAGTATCATGACATTTCTTGAACTATAAAACTCTCCGGGCTTGAAGGTATGAAGTTCTTGGGATGCTGTATTTTATTCCCTAGGTCTGAACCCCTCTTCTGGGGCTTCTGAATGAAGAAAAGCATGGGGCGCGCCGA